CAAACTCGCTCGGATCAGTCATTAGCCCGCATGGTTTTTCATAACACTGCTACGCTGACGACACCCAACTAATTCTGTCCTTTCCCCGCTCAGAGACCCAGGTCGTCGCACGCATCTCTGCTTGTCTAGCTGACATCTCTCAGTGGATGTCTGCTCCCCACCTCAAGCTCAACCTTGACAAGACTGAACTGCTTTTGCATCGGCCAAACAGCTCGCTGCACCCGCACTGCGAGGGGGACCCAAGTTCCCATCAGCAAAAACACGTGGGTTTGCTATCCTAGCTCCAACATGGTGGAATGAGCTCCCCATTGACATCAGGACAGCAGAAAGCTTACACATCTTCCGGCGCAGACTGAAAACTCATCTCTTTCGACTCCACTTCGAGCGATAGAATTACTAACAAAGCACTTATATACTAATAAAGGACTGGCTTATCTAAAGCCAGTTGAGTAGCACTTGAAATGTTTTAGCTCTATGAAACCTGATGTACTTATATGATTCTGTTTTCTTCAAGTTTGTACTTTGTTGGTCGAACGCACTTATTGTAAGTCGCTTTGGATGAAAGCGTCGGCTAAATGCAATGTAATGTAAAAGTAATGTTTTTTTTGCAACGTGTTTGTATATGTCCTGTTTCGTACCAACTGTTTTTTTTCATCTCTCAGATGTTCTGTTGACCTGTTGAAATAAAAACAAAGAGGCAAAATAAGAGACGTGTTGCTCACCTGTACTTGCAGTGCAGCAGGTTGACGCGGTGCTCGTGTGTTCGTGATCCCGGCATGTTCACAGCAACGGCGAGAGTTTGTGGCAGCTCTTCCTCGCTGGAATATTCCACGACCAGAGCGTAATCCCCTGCAGACGGCAGGCGACCTCTCAGCTCAACGCTGATCTGCAGCAGCAATGGAAAGAAAACAACTGATTGAAACTCTGCTCATAATACTAAAGCTACTGTAAAATGTGTTGGATCTAAATCAATACAAATGCTGCACAATCAATTCTCTTACATCGAAGCCGCTGCAGACGGCCATGTCGGGGTGGCGCGGGGTCACCCTCTCCGTCGGGCAGGGGCGCGGCAGGTGGTTGTCGTTGCGGCAGCCTGCATCGTTACCAGAGATGGAGGGGAAGGAGTCCAGAGACAGATATCTGTACTGCAGGCAGCTAGACAGAGACAGAAAGAGCAACAGACAGGTACATTAGAGGTGGTGTGAATATTTGTTTCGGTTAAGAGGAGAATGTCTGGATCAGCATATTTACTTCGGATTGGCTTCAGGCACTGCGCTGTAGCTGCAGGGCTCAGAGACTTTGATCTGCAGGATGGGAGCTTCGTAGTAGGCACTGGGAAGCAGCACCAGGTAATCCTGCAAGTGAAACAGAACAAGAGTTATTTCGGTAAATTATAAACGAACACAAAACAGAGTAAAAGCCTACATTCATCTACCGGTACTTGTAATGACATGTTGACGTCTATTCTAGTTATTATTTCGACAAAATAGGGACAATGTTTTTCTGCTATGAGGCATCGTGTGTGTGTGTGTGTGTGTGTGTGTGTGTGTGTGTGCGTGCGTGCGCAATGCATGTACGCGCAGGCGTTAGTTTTAAAGACCCCATAGAGCGCAGTGTGTGTGTGTGTGTGTGTGTGTGTGTGTGTGTGTGTGTGTGTGTGTGTGTGTGTGTGTGTGTGTGTGTGACCCACCAGCAGGATTCCCTCCGCCTCTATAACCACGGTCCAGGTTCCCGGGTTCAGGACGAACGGCTCCACAAAGTTGTTCTGGGGAACGTTTACAAAAGTGGAGTCCACACTGGGAGCAAAGACGATCTGTTTGGACTGCTCTGAACCTAAAGAACATGCCAAGTTAGAAGCCCAAAGGTAGAATTAGGATATTACTTCAGATACATTTGAGTAAAAGAAATTAGAAAATTGGACAATACTAATATGAATAACAATAAAAACACGTTTTAGAGCAAAACAAATTATATTAATGTGTAATAAATATACAAAACAAGCAACTGTGATGTCAACAGGAGCCAGAAACTATGAATTGCTGTTCATTTTGGTTAAGATGTACAGTACTTCAAACAAAACACTGACAGACTCGTATAACTGAATCTACAATTACAAATGAAAGATTCTTAGCGCTATGTTTAAAATGAAATGTTCACATTTTAACAGACATTCACAAACACTCACACTCTCTTTTGATTGGTGGACACCTACCTCTGCGGTTGACCTGATAGGCTGTTATTTTACCGTTGGAGGTGGCGCCCTCAGAGTTTACATATCTGAGGATGAAGCGAGTCAGATAGACGTCTGCCTCACTCACATAAACCTGAAGCTTCACTGCAGTCTACAGGACGGGTCGGGTGGGAGAGAGGGAAGTGTTGAG